TATTTCAATATTGCCTAAATTGGATATATATATATATATATGTATATATGTATGTGCGCGCGCGCGCTTGAATGAACACACGCGCTCTAATGAACATAAATATGCATTTCAACTTGCTTTCGAATGTCGACAACATTCCTCGTACTGCTACTTACAATCTGATTTATAGCAACTTCTACAAGCATAATATAGCGAATATGAACGTGCACTCTAATGAACATAAATTTGCACAACGTTACCCAAATTTGAGTCCGAAATTAAGCACTAATTGATAGGGAACCTTTCTCTCCTACAAAACCATCAGCCTTATCCACTTTTTACAAAAATCACAAACCTAGACATATAGTCCAGTATTACAAACCCAATAAAAAATCCGATACCTTAGGTCCGGAAGAACATACCCAGGCACAAATATCAAATCTTCTGATTAGACCAGATAATTTTGGACGAAAAGAAGATTATTTCAGTCAGCTAGAAGATGAGGATATCTCATCATCATCTTTTCAAACTACCAATAATAGAGGAAAAAGTGCTATGATCAGTATATTAACCAAAGATCAAAGCCTTCTCGTTGATATTTCAGAAAAAGATAGTTTCAAAATTCCCGAACCAAATTTCAATCCTTGTAAACCAAAACCCTATAATTTCTTAAAAGTCCCTATTCAACCAATGACCTTCCAAAATCTTCAAATAGAAACTAATCCTCAAAGCAAAAAATTAGCCAAAAACCCTGCAAACCTGCAAACCTGCAAAATTAGCCAAAAACCCTGCAAACCTGAATGACAATTTTCAGTTACTTCAAAATTATTCAGTCCAAGTATGATTACTAATTAACGACAATTATGTAATCCAAACTAAAGCCCTATTTGATACTTGGGCGGACCAAACTTTTATTCTTGAAAATCTTGTTCCAACCCAATTTTCTAAAGGGCTTAGAGGAGCTAATGGTTCCAAGCTCGATATCAGATTCAACCTTTCAAATGTCCATATCCAATTCTCAGATACTTTCTTTTTAGCCAAACATCTGACCAACAATCTCATACTAGGAGTATCCTTTATCAATTAACTGATCCCTTACCAAACCACTCATGAAGGGATAATATCCCAACTTCTTAATCCTAATGCCCTCCTACCCTTTTCAAACTAATTCTCTATTTTGCAGAAACATGGCAGTTGATGAAAATTCATCATCACAAGCAAACGATTATCTTTTTGATGGGTACTTTAATTGGGTGCAAACCCCTGATGCAGTACAAAGTAACAATCAAGCTTCTTATGTAGAAGATAAACATCACAATCAAACCTCTGATGAAGATCAAACAAATTGGGACTGAGTTCCTGATGAATCAACCTCAAACTGGGTTCCTAATGAGTCAACCTCAAATTGGGTACCTGATGAAGTAACTTCAAACCAGTTCCAAATAGTTGATGAAAACTCAATAATAAATTGGATTTGGACGACTGAAAATGATGACAATCCATTTTCAATCCCTGAAGACCCTGCTGCTCAATCCTTCTATGTCAAACTAAGAAATGATACCTTCTCAAACCTTTGGATAAAGTATCATTCTCTTGAAAATGAGCGCAAAAAATCTAGAATCAGCAGCTTTGATAGTGTATTCTTCAACTAAGATACCGGTGAAAGAATCCCTATCTACCACATACACAAATACAACAATGTCGGGGGTAAGAGATTCAAACTATTCCACATAAACTATGAAAGAACAATGTTTCATGAAATGAAAAAATATTCAAAGATTGGTCCTCAACAAGTATTTACTTGAGAAATGAGAAGCCAATACACAACATTACAAGGAATGGATCAGAGAAGCATTAAAAGAATTATTAGCAACTATTTGCTAAAAACAAATGCTTCTAAGAAACATTCAAACTATAAACAGCTTGGCTCAACTGGACAAATCCTGTATTCTCGACAGAATCACAACAAACAGAAGACAATTAACGACTCTTAGTCAGAATTGCAAACTGAAGAAATCCAAAAAATAATTCTCATTATAGCACCAAAGGTCACTGTAGCAGTCCAACAAGTTACTGTGTAGACATAGCAACAAAAAGATAAACTATACACTGTAGCGTGCACCGTACACTATAACCAACAGTAAAATCACTGTAGCAGGTACTGTAACAATTCAAAAAATTTGCTATAAATACCCTTCAATCCCAACACAAAACACACACCATTTCTTCAAGACCACTTCTCTCTCTAACTTGAAGAAATCCTCCTCTTTCTCTGTAGAATATAAACTAGTTAGGATTCAAACAAGGAAGCAAACATTGATCAACATCAAGCAAGTTTCAAACTTTGTAAGCTTTCTTATATTCTCTTATTCAATAATATTCTATCATATGGTCGTCTAAGCCGCCTGATATTCATATTCATTTATTTGTTTATTTATTTTGTTTTTATTCAACAGATCTCATGGTCGGTTATACCACCTAATCTATTAGTGGCAATCTAACTGTGATCCACTTCCTTATTCTTTCTGTTTATATTTTTTCCTTTCCTGATTTAAGGGGCTAACATCTCGTCTCGCCTAGTATCAGAGCCATCTCCCAGCCCGTCCCATCCCCTACTTTGATACCAAACGAGACAAGTGACTAGCCCCTTAAATCAGGAATGAAAAGAACATAAACAGAAAGAGTAAGAAAGTGGATCACAATCGGACCATCACTAACAGATCAGGCGGTATAACCACCTATGAGATTTGTTGAATAAAAACAGAATAAGTAAACAATTAAATAAATATGAATATCAGGCGGCTTAACTGACTATATGATAGAATATTATTGAATAAGAGAATATAAGAAAGCTTACAAAGTTTGAAATTTGCTTGATGTTGATTAATTAGTTTATATTCAAGAGAGAAGAAGAAGGGTTTCTTCAATTTAGAGAAATAAGTAGTCTTAAAGAAATAGTGTGGGAATGGTGTTGGGAATGAGGGGTATTGATAGCAAATTTTTTTCGAGTTGCTATAGTACCCTCTACAGTGATTTTACTGTTTGCTACAATGTACAGTATCGCTACAGTGCGCGCTACAATATACAATTTATCCTTTTGTTTCTGTGTTTGTACAGTAACTTGTCAGACTACTACAATGACTTTCGGTGCTACAGTGGAGATTGCGATTGTCTTCCGTTTGTTGAGATTCTGTTAAGAATCCTTGCATATTTAGACAAGATTTGTCTTGATTTGTTTAACAAATATTTGCAGATAACTCTTGTTTTGTTTCCCGAATCATGTCATGATAATCCGGTGTCTTGTCTCCCCAGTTGTTGAGACAATGTTTATTCAGGATCAGTCTTTGAATTTTTCTTCTTTCCATAAAGCTTTGATCCTTCAGACTTTGGACTGTATAGTCTGCTGGTCTTGCAGTAATATTATCATGTTTGTGTCTAAGGTGTGGAGGGATTCTATCACTAGTTTCTATGTTGTAAAATACAATATCAAAGTATCTGGTTCTGTCTTCCATGCATTCTTGTTTGTAAGAATAGTAATCATTTGCTATATATGATATTGTATCATCAACAAGTTTTGTTGGAATCCAGTTGTTGATTCTTCTAGAGTTGGATGTTAAACTTCCTTCAGCTGTCATGTTTCTATAAAATAGAATTAGTTAGTTCTAATTTTTTGGAAAAGAGTACGAGTGCATTAGGGTATTATGCCCTCTTCTGTGGTCAAATAAGGAACTAATTGTTTGATAAAAGATATTCCTAGTATAATATTGCAGCAGGTTAGGTGTTTTGCTAGGAAAAAGGTATCTGGAATAGACAAGGATGAAAATTGAATTTGAACATTTTGAAGAGTGAATCAAATACCGAGTTTAGAGGCTTCAGCTCCTCTAAGTCCTTCTTTGGTTTTCTCAAAGAATTGGGTAGGAGCAAGATTTTCAAGAATGCAAATTTGGTCTACCCTGATATCAAATAAGGTTTCAGTTTCAATTACATAATTGTTGCCAATTAGTAACCGAACTTGGACTAAGTGATCTTTGTCATCTTGTGTTTTCTTGAATTCAGCATCATTTTGGGTATGGTCATTTGGACTTGTTTCTTAAGATTTTTGGTTTCAACTAGATTTTGAAGAATAAGAGCATCAAGATTTTGAGGAGAGCAATTTTAGTTTGAAGATTTTGAAGGGTAACAGGTTTGGTAGGTTTAGAAAGAAACCTGTCAAGAATATCTGTAAGATTATAGGTTTTGAGAAACCTAAGATATTTAGTCAAAGGACTTAAAGAAGTTGATGTTTGATTCAAGGATTCTTTGAATCTGTTTAGATAAAATTGTTTTTACTTGGTTTCAAGAATTTCCTGAATGATCTCAAGAAGAAGGTTTTGATCTCTAGTTATACGTTGATTGCAGGACTTTCTTTTTCATTTTCATTAGGAGAAGTTTGAGAAGATGATGAAGATGAGATATCATTCTCTAATTGGTTGACATAATCTTCTTCTCGTTTAGAATTATCAATTTCTGAATCAATTAGAAGATTAGATATTTGCATTTTGATTTGGTCTTCTATGCCTATGGTATTAATTTTTTGGTTGAATCTGCAGTATAGGGCAATATGTCCTGATTTTGTGGTCTTTGTGGTAGACGATTGTAGGTGTGGCGGCCCCACTTCTCCCTAAGGCGAACCAAAGGGTTGGCGGGTCGCCTGCCTAGCTCTCGCTAGGACTCACGCACTCTGGTAACTAATTTCACCAAATATAAATAAAAAATAAACCTTACTTCTCGAGCAAGTCACGTACTTAAATAATTCATACAATTCAACTTATACAGCCCAAAACACAATTCCAAGTACCAACGAAAAAGTCGAGCTTAGTATACTTAAATTCAACTTAATTTACAATTTAAAGTTCCCAATCCAGGGCACAGAAGCACCACAGGATTCACATTTTCCCAAAAACACAAAAATCATCCAAAAGATACTAACATTTCCAAAAATACAATTACAAAAGTGGGCATTCAAAATATAACATTTCTATTCTAGTTCTCCAAGACTTCATGCATTTCAGAACCTGTCAAGGAAAACAATTTGGAAGGGATGAGCCAATAGTTCAGTGGTGCCTCGAAACATGCAATTCACATAAGGCAATTTAACAAGTACAAATAGACAAGTAAGCACTTAACAATTTAAGAAAGCGAAATAACATGACAAGAAAATGATACGGGGCTCTCAGGAGCCAAAGTCCACGCACTTGATCAGAAAATTTATAGTAGTTGACACTCCGTCAACTTTCACTACCTAAACTCCATGTAGACATTTTCTCTAATCTACACATCTCCTAGCAACGTCTTCCCCCTTATTTTCGGGCCCGACTCCAACACGAATATTGCAAGCACTTTTACCAAGACGGCAGAGAGGTACCTCCCACTCGAATAGAGCGTGGTACGTGCATCCGTTTGGTTTATTTAGTCGACGAGACCACGCTCCAATCGACATTGCAACACTTGTACTTGTGGCATTTCACGCAATCACATAGCATATAACATTTCATGATATCTCTAGCAAGTACTTTTAACAAGTAGTTCAACTAGCAGTTAAACACGATTCATGCAAGAGACACTCACCTCAAGTGAAGTGTCTAGAATTCCAAACTTTGATCGAGATTGTGCTCTTCACCAACTCCTAAAATCATACAAATAATTCACATAAATTTCTACTTTTGAGTTGGCGAATTTAACTCGAGTCAACTAGCATTTAATTTCACTCAAAAATCCCAAACTAGTATTAATCGTTTTCTCAAAGAATTTAAAGTGAAATCCACAAATCGGGTGAAATTAAATTTTGAGTTTTCTTTAAAACCCAAAAACTTGCTAAATTTGTCAAATATTCCAACATCCAAGTTCTAGAATCATATAAGCCATTTAACACCAATTTGGTGTCACAAGTTGAAAAAAATCACATTTAAACCATTTAGAGGAATTTTCCCCTCAAATTTTTCCCAAACATATCTTGGGAAATTCCTTTAAGAGGCAATCATATAAACCAAGTAAAACTAGTCGTTAGAATTTCTATAAAATAGAAACTCCTTAAGTTTGCCAAATTCCACGACCAACTTAGTCCAATGATTTTCATGAAGGCAAAAACTTGAGTTTTTTAGGAAAATTTCCAGATTTGACAAATTCCTCAAAATAGGGCATTTGGTCTAATAAAATTCAAGGTTATCAACTCAAAGTGGACCTAGTAACAACGGTTAATGCTAGAAAACATTTTCGGGACAACTTTGGTCCACATTTACCCACAATGAAATCCAAACATCAAACCATTTCTAATTTCAAACAAAAATTCTGTTTTGGTATCTTCTTGGAGAATAAGATTTTGGTCCACTTTTTGGACGTAACCTCTACTAGATTTTTGTCCCAAATTGAGCTATACAAACCCCTTAATTAATACACAAATCATTTGAGCTCAAGTTATCGCGAAAACAGTTCACAATTATCATTCAAAGCTGGAAAAATTTCAGGTGCATTCGGTAGCAAGTAGTCCATTTCCCCTTCAATTTATCCAAAATTTTTCAACTACCCAAAAGCTACATTTTCACCCAAACAATACTACCCATATAGGTTAACATGTATACAGCCCAAGTAGTTCAAAAATTTGTCAAAATTGACCCCCAAAATTCGACTAAAATCAGGAAAATTTCCAGAATTTTTTGGACAGCATATACCTTCCTTTTCCTTCAATTCCTCAACATCATTTCAACTACAAAAGTGGTGCATTTTCCCTCAAATGACCATATACATTCAGCTTAACATTTACACAATCCATGAAGCTCAATTTCTTGTCAAGAATCAGATCAAAAACTCGAACACAAACTGGGAAAATTTGGACAGTTTGGTTCAACAGCAGAGCAGTTTTCGTATTTTGGTCACATATCATACAATTCAACTTAGATTTGAGCATCGTTGGTAGCGTTGGAAACTACACTCATAGGGATACAATTTTTCAGAAGAAATCGTTTTAAAATTCTACTCATAACTAGCTCGAAATCTGGCAACAAAACGCAGCTCATATCCTGGCTTCCAGTGAACCAGTGGAGCAGGACAGGTGACTTTAAAAGACTGCCACGGTTCACTCAGGTGGAACCAGGACGTGAATTTTACACTGTTGGAAATCTGGAAGAGTCTAGTTTCTAATGGCGCTAACGGCACTCAATTTCGATGTCGGAGGGCAGAGTTATGATCGAAACAAAATGGCTGCCTGAGCCATACGGGAAAAATTTCCAGATTTTGCTGGTTTTTGGAATTCATCACCTTTGGTCAACCAAACCTCAATATCTTTCAATGAAACTTTACACACAACTCCAACAACACATAAACATCAAATACAAGCCGTTAAAACCTCAGAATTTCGCATGAAAAAGGTCGGTCTTGGCAGGGGCAGAATCGGAACTTTTTTGCTTCAAGAGCTCAATGAAGTTTCTAGCAATAATGCACCTTTAATCTACTTCCTTAAGCACTAATTCAACAATAAAACCATCATCAAACATCATCACAGCCATCAACTCAAAGTGGGAGTTCATAGAGCCCACATTTAACAATTTCCAACAATAATAAGCTACCCATAAGCATAATCAAGCTCTTAAGTGTGAGTTGTCCTTCATTGAACAAGAATTGAAGAGTGGATCATGGTTACCTTACTTGTGTGCTAAAAGGTCAGATTTTGGTGTCCCAAAAGCCCCAAGAAAATCCGTGGATGTGCAGCTCCTTCTTTGTCCAAGTGATTGTCCAAGTTGTCTTGAGCTTGTGTGGTGAATTTGGTGTGAATTGGAGCAAGAAAATGGTGGAGGAAAAATTGTGAAATTTGGAGTGTGAGAGAGAGTAGAGACCGGCGGTTATGGTGAGGGGAAAGGGAGGGAAAAATCTGAAATGGAAAGCTTCCTTGAGAAGCTTGAGTGTGGTACAACTTTTGTGCTCCCAAGTCAACCGTGAACAGTGTATCGCCTGAGGTTTGTTTTAACTGTGCACTAAACCTCTAATGCACATATATTCATGTAATTATCATTCACTCTTAATGACCTCAAAATAAGGTTCTAAAGTCCTTCAAATAAATCACGCGCGTAAAACGCGTATTTCCCACTTATGCGCGATAAGGTGAAATTTTTTTTGAGAAATTCTTATAACGATGGCATTTCTAACTAATACATTGATATTTAGGCATAAAAATACCTATTTTAAGACTAAGGTATAAATCTCCCATTATTCGGGCTCATGAACTCTCAAGTCAGTTACTATTCCTGAGCCTATGGGCACTATTCACACTTAACAACTTTCAAGACTTGAATTGCGAACTAATTGCCTTAAAATTACTCATGAGCTATAATGCTATAGAATTGGGTCCAATAGGGCTAGAAAATAATATTCGAAATAATTGAACAATTAACTAATTAAATAACCTCAGAATGGGAATTTAAAAGAAATAAATTGCGAGTCCTCACATTCCTCATCTAACATTTCTCCAACTTAATTATACCTTTTTATAGCCTCTACATATACTACATTTCAACTTAGGACTAATTCGCGCGTCGGTGCGCGAAAATTCAACTTAGGGCTTTGCCGAACGCGAGCCGTCAATTAAATCTTAAAAATTCAAATAAATTGAAATGTAACATTTGAATGATTGAAAACAATATTATTTAAATATAAATACATATTATTGGATAATTTTAATATTTTCAATAATATTTTGATTTAATTTTCTAGAGGATAATGAAATTTTTGAGGTCCTCACAGTAGGTAAGGCTGGCCCTGTGATCTGTACTGATTGTGTAGAAGGTAGTTGTTTATTGGGTTGGTATTGTGATTTTTTGTAAAAAAAAAAGGGTTGTTCAAGGTGTTTTGAGGGTTTGAGCCATTTGTGGGGTTTTTGTAACAACCAGGTAGCCCAAGTTGCTCACAAAAGAATCCAAGATCTTTTCTTCTTTAGGCTAGATCCTTTACGAGTTGTCTGAACATCTTGTTTTGTCGACATACTTTGAGTGTGACTTGTTGAATTTGGTTGATTAATTGTCGATAGGTTATTGTTTCCCATGGCACAACATCATTGTATTGAGTCCTGAGTTCTTCTCAAACTAGGTCTCGTAGTGATTTGGAAAGGCCATCCAAGAACTTTTCTTTCCAATAAGCCTTGTTGCGGTCTATTCTTGCATATATTCTGATCAAGAATGTGTCTTTGTACCATCTAAAATCTAAGAGACTTTTGCATTTGATGTTGTTTAATAGTTCTGATGATTTTTCTTTGAATATTCCTGGATCACCAACGAATGTCTTTGCAATAGTGAATATCAATGTTGCCACAGCATCTGAGATGGTGCCTCCATCCTATAGGATTGGCTCTCCATTGATATCAACTTTGACTAAATTGAGAATATTATCTTTGTCTTTTGTGATGGGATATTCATCCCACCATCCTTTGAGTTACCCAGTGAATCCCATTATAAGAATATGGGCAACTAGTTGACCAGTATAGCCATGTGATGTTTTATAGGTTGTGGCTACTATTGTCATTTGTTGAAGAGTTGTAAGAATATTGTATTCTAATATTCCATTTACGCTCTATTAATAAATGTTATTTGCATTGTATGAATTTTGGAGAATGTTGAATTTTTCTTCAAGGAGGATATCTGGATAGGTGGCTCGGGAATAATATAGTTTTTGGGGGTTTTCCAGTTGAAGAAGAGGCTTGCAAATTATTTAAGGTAGGAGTTTCTTGGAGATCTACTTTGGTTATGATATAGGTTGTCTGGTTGACAGAAGTGGATCCTTGGTTATTAGATCCTTGTTTGGTTATAGGTGTAGAAAAGGATTATTCAATTTTGGCTACTCAATTTTCTAATTGGTCTAAAGGTTTGATTTGGAGATTTTTATGGAATTTGATTGGTATTTCATGAGATTTGAATAATAAATTTGAAGAAGAGATATTGGTGGAAGGAGATTTAGAAATAGGTCTGGTAAGTGTTTGTAAATACTTGTTGGTGTAGTTGTTATGCTCGTAGATTCCTTGAATGTCCTTAGCATTAACTGCTTCATCATTCTAAGTAATCTTGAGCTCGAAGGGTTTGGCATCAATTTTTGTTGATTTGTATGAGAAGGTGATTGAGTTTGATAGTGGAAGTTCTGCTTGGACTTCTCCTTCAATTGTTTGCCACCTTTTGATTACATTTGCCGTCCGGAGGAAAGGAAAATCTATTCCATTTGATAAGGTGCAAAATTACTATTCAATTTATGATTATTTTCCTTTGATTGTAGCCAAACATTGTTTTAATTGATGAATTCTATTTATATTTGGCTAATGGTGCTAATTGTAGAAAATGAGCAAAACGTGATTAAAAGGGGCAATTTTTTAGTTAATTTGGTGGTGGCACAATCGGAACCTGTTTTCAAATCTAGAAGACTCGAGAATTTTCTGTGTGAAGGTTTCCTAATTCGAGTCAACTATGAATAGCTTTTGAAAGATTTGAAAATTATCTTTGTTAGTAGTAGTATTAGATTAGAAAACAAGAGATATTATCTCTTGTAGTTTCTTTTTTTTTTATTTAGAAAATATGTTTTATTAGTTAAGTAGTTGAAATGAAGTAGGAAACGAAAAGAAAGGGAAGTCGGATTCCCGTTTGACTAGGACTTCAGCCAAAAACAAGATTAATGACCGTGACTTTTTGCCTTGGCGGAGAGAGGACAGCTGCTTAGTTCTCTTCTTTTCTTTTGGTTCCTTCAATGTTAGACATTTATGAAATGCACTTTCATGAATTCATATGAATTGTTTCTGATGATGAGCAATTAGATTTCTCTTTCTAGGCTAAGGATAGTTTAAAGACTTTGTTCTACAAACTATGAGGTCGAATCAATTACATCGTTTTTTTTATTTGTTGGTATTTATTCATTTTTTGGTTTTAATATTATGATCATTATGTTATTCGAATATCAAAGGGCCCGGTATTTGAATTGACGTGATAGTCAATTGCTAATTGAAGCGATTTAATCCGTAATTGTTAGATTACTTTAATTCTAGTAGCAACTGGCATAATTAAATTTGTGTTAGGGGAACGAATAATCTAACTTAAAGAGACCCTCATAGCGTGTTGATTGATTAGAATTAGACTCTTCTAATTATTCATGCAATTGGAAAATCAAACTTCTATGATCATACCTAATATTGTTTTCTGATTAGAGAAATAGTCGACGGTCATACCTTGACTATCGACAAAATAAGGAAGAGTTGGCTTTTATGCTAGAACTAATTTATCAATAAATAATTGAATTCATCTTTGCATCTATGATCGGTTTATGAACTTTGTCTGGTAGTTATTCCTCTGGCTAAAGTTTTGCTATTATTGATTCAATTTTATTTTATTTGTGTTATTTTGATTTTACTGAATTTAATTGGTTAATTCCTAGTATCTCTAAAATCCCCATATATTTTGAACTCAAGAGAAAACGAATTTTTCCAGTCCCTGTGGATTTGACCCTACTCACCACCATATACAAAAATTATATTTTTTCTTGAATAGGTATTTATTATTGTACAGACTCGACACCTGTCAATTTTTATCGCCATTGCCAAGGACTGGTGCCCGATTAATTTGTTTCTCTTTGAGTTCATCTTATTTTTATTTTTATTTTTCTCTGATTTTTTTACTAGTTTATGGCTACTAATATTTCATATTTTGATGATAGACTGAATTTTATTTCTAGAAGGGGTAATGGGACTCGTGTTTTTTCTAATTATTAATTGGCTGTTGCAACTTGTAGATTCGGTTATGCCTTGGATCATTCAACAGACATATGCCCCGTATTTCAAAATGAACTGAGTTACTAACCGCTAATACATATCGATTTGAACAGGAAATACAAATGAGATGTAGAGAGACGGAGGATAGAATGCGTCAACAACCATTGTCTACCTTAGGTATGTCTCTTGAAGAAATGATGGAATTACTAATTATTAATACATATCGATTTCAACAGAAGACACAAATGAGAAGTAGAGAGACGGAGGATGGAATGCGTCAAGAACCATCATTTACATCAGATATGTCTCTTGAAGAAATGATATATCATTTTCGATAGGAGACACAAATGAGAATTAGAAGGATGGAGGATCAAGGGCATCTATTTGCATCTACAATGAGCATTCGTGACCTGACCGATCAAATACGTCTATTGACATCTAAAATAATGCAATTGACTTCTCAAATTTGTAAAAAATTGCCCTCACTGACCATTATCGATCTTGAGGGAGATGAGAGTGCAATTACTTTGACATGTAACGAGGAGCTGCAAGAGTTCTAAGGAGAAGGATCTAAAGATGCGGTTGAAACGGAAGTTAAGAATGAAGAAATAAAACCCCAATCTCTAATTGTTCAAGTGAATAAATCCAGTGAACAATTTTCAAATATGGCGACACCCCCTCCATTCTCTAGCCAATATTATCCTGACTCTTATTCTATAATTTTTGTTAGTGCGATTGATTTTGTTATACCAGAAATTTTTGAGTCTCATGGCAGGAATAAATTAGGAGTTGTTATGGCTAAATTACTTGGATTGGTAAGTACTCGTGATAGAGAAGCGAGTGAAGAATTAAGGTCACTGTTTAACTGCTTGGCTCCATCTACTAGTCAATGGAAGAAAGCAACTCAAGTGCTAAAGATCATTCTATTTATGAGGGTTATCAGGATTGCTTAGAGGATGTAGCACTGAAACGAAAGGTACTTATTGGGAGGCAACCCAATTCACTTTTTTGTTCATTTTTATTATTAGTTTCATTATGTTATCTTAAGTTTTTCATATTTGGGGTGTCTAATTTTTATTTTTGATGTTTCAAGGGTTAGAAGACTTCCTGCCGACAAGATGTGTCCACGT